GGACTACTCAAAAACGTGTGTCTAGTGTTGAAGACTGGACTACTCAAAAACGTGTGTCTAGTGTTGAAGACGGGACTACTCAAAAAGGTGTGTCTAGTGTTGAAGACTGGACTACTCAAAAACGTGTGTCTAGTGTTGAAGACGGGACTACTCAAAAACGTGTGTCTAGTGTTGAAGACTCAAAAAGGGAATTTTAAAATATTAGAATTTGAAACTAAGACCATTCTGTTTATAACGTTTTCTGTGTCAAGCCAATGGCTTTCGTAGGACGATAACTCTACTCTCACCAAAACTGGTTTTTAGAAACTGAATGCTGTAGTGTAACGACACCAGTAACGATGCCATTGGTATTTTAACACTAAGCCATGCTCTCTGATTGTTCGATTTAGTGCAAAAATAACAAAGAATGTGTTGTTTTCAAGCAATAATGTCAGCTTTAATTTCACTGGTTAGAATGTAATAAAGAACGTTTTCTCTGTGAATTTGACAAACACGGACTCAACTGTATTTATCTTATCATGAGTAAAGGGCGAAGGGGCATGACATATATACAGACCCTCACTTATGTTCCTTATATATAATTGTGTGTGTGATCTGATACATTATAGATGTTTAAGGACATACTGAATTAGAATTATGAATAATATCATGCCCCTTTGATTATTTCCAATGTTCAACACAATTTGAAAAAAAAGTCCCCTTCATTTTAACGATACTTAAATGGAAATTATTAGAGGAATTGCAGCAGCTAGTAAATTGCAAATTTTAGAAAAAAAACAGTGATATTTAGGAAAGGTTTCCTCAAATAAGACCAGTAATTGTAGTATGAGCAAGTAATCATTAATCAGATAGTATGAAACACATGTTAACTAAACAATTTATCAAATATAGATTAAGTTTCATTATCGATGTCGTGTGTTGCGAATTCGTGAAAATATTGGTCAAGATTTGCCACCAGTATCTGATTTACAACCTTCTCTATACAGACTTCGTCACGGAAAACAACAAGGATTCGTCCTCCACGCAGACATGTCAGTTTGGAACCAAGTTCAGGATTAATACCTCAGAATTAAGTACAAAAGCTAGTACCGCATTTGTTTGCGTTGTGTTGTACATGTAGATAAATGCTATGTCAGATGTTGCTAGCTATAGCTTTGGACCAATTTCACGAACATAAAAAACACCTCAATTTCGAATTTCAGGAAAGCATTAGTAAATTAAGGTTTCCTCACATCCTATTTTTCCTAAACTTCAAAGAAATAAAGATTCCCCTTGTAAAGTTAAAATAACTTCCATAAATTACAGAATGTTTGGTCAACAGGGGTCTTGAACGAAACAGGTAAAGGTGTTTTGAGCCATCATCAATAAATTTAATGGAAAATATTACAACGATTTTCATATTTTCTTCAACAACGGAAAGAAAACTTACATTTCAACCATTAAAATGAGGTCAATTAACAACCTGAAGGTATTAAGATGCCCTTAAAGTGAACGCAGAAAGGCCATTGATGTCACTTCCGTTGATAAATCGAGTTTCTGTGATATTGACAACAATACAGACTAATAGTCTATCATATGTAGGTATGTAGACAATGAGAACCTACAGATTTATAGTCTATCATATGTAGGTATGTAGACAATGAGAACGTAGAGACTAATAGAGTCTATCCTATGTAGGTATGTAGACAATGAGAACCTACAGACTAATAGAGTCTATCATATGTACGTATATTAGACAATGAGAACCTACAGACTAATAGAGTCTATCATATGTACGTATATTAGACAATGAGAATCTACAGACTAATAGAGTCTATCCTATGTAGGTGTGTAGACAATGAGAACCTACAGACTAATAGAGTCTATCATATGTAGGTATGTAGACAATGAGAACCTACAGACTAATAGAGTCTAGCATATGTAGGTATGTAGACAATGAGAACCTACAGACTAATGGAGTCTATCCTATGTAGGTATGTAGACAATAAAAACCTAGAGTCTATCCTATGTAGGTATGTACACAATGAGAATCTAGTGACTAATAGAGTCTATCCTATGTAGGAATGTAGACAATGAGAACCTACAGACTAATCAAGTATATCCTATGTAGGTGTGTAGACAATGAGAACCTACAGACTAATAGAGTCTATCCTATGTAGGTGTGTAGACAATGAGAACCTAGAGACTAATCGAGTCTATCCTATGTAGGTATGTAGACAATGAGAACCTACAGACTGATAGAGTCTCTCATATGTAGGTATGTAGACAATGAGAAACTACAGACTAATAGAGTCTATCATATGTATGTATGTAGACAATGAGAACCTACAGACTAATCGAGTCTATCCTATGTAGGTATGTAGACAATGAGAACCTACAGACTAATAGAGTCTATCCTATGTAGGTATGTAGGACATGAGAACCTACAGACTAATAGAGTCTATCCTATGTAGGTATGTAGACAATGAGAACCTACAGACTAATAGAGTCTATCATATGCAGGTATGAACACAATAAGAACGTAGAGACTAATAGAGTCTATCATATGTAGGTATGTACACAATGAGAACCTACATACTAATAGAGTCTATCCTATGTAGGTATGTAGACAATGGGAACCTACAGACTAATAGAGTCTATCATATGTAGGTATGTACACAATGAGAACCTACATACTAATAGAGTCTATCCTATGTAGGTATGTAGACAATGAGAACCTACAGACTAATAGAGTCTATCCTATGTAGGTATGTACACAATGAGAACCTACAGACTAACAGAGTCTATCATATGTAGGTATGTACACAATGAAAACCTAGAGACTAATCGAGTCTATCATATGTAGGGATGTAGACAATGAGAACCTACAGACTGATAGAGTCTATCATATGTAGGTATGCAGCCAATGAGAACCTACAGACTGATAGAGTCTATCATATGTAGGTATGTACACACTGAGAACCTACAGACTAATCGAGTCTATTATATGTAGGTATGTAGACAATTAGAACCTACAGACTAATCGAGTCTATTATATGTAGGTATGTAGACAATGAGAACCTACAGACTAATAGAGTCTATCATATGTAGGTATGTAGCCAATGAGAACCTACAGACTTATAGAGACTATCATATGTAGACAATGAGAACCTAGAGACTATCATATGAAGGTATTTAGATAATGAGAACCTACAGACTAATAGAGTCTATCATATGTAGGTATGTAAACAATGAGAACCTACAGACTAATAGTCTATCATATGTAGGTATGTAGACAATGAGAACCTACAGACTAATAGAGTCTAGCATATGTAGATATGTAGACAATGAGAACCTACAGACTAATAGAGTCTATCATACCTAGGTATGTAGACAATGAGAACCTACAGACTAACAGAGTATATCATACCTAGGTATGTAGACAATGAGAACCTACAGACTAATAGAGTCTATCATATGTAGGTATGTAGACAATGAGAACCTACAGACTAATAGAGTCTATATCATATGTAGGTATGTAGACAATGAGAACGTAGAGACTAATAGAGTCTATCATATGTAGGTATGTACACAATGAGAAACTAGAGCCGAATAGATCAGAGTCTATCATATGTAGGAATGTAGACAATGAGAACCTACAGACTAATAGAGTCTATCATATGTAGGTATGTAGACAATGAGAACCTACAGACTAAGAGAGTCTATCATATGTAGGTATGTAGGACATGGTTGTCCTACCGGAGGGTGTAGAATTGAGTCAGAACCGAGGTCCTGAGAGTGCTAATGTTCTCATTTTACCCTTAGGTCTGCCCCCTGAAATATCTTTGTGTCAACTGAATTGAATTTTCCTTGATGACATAGTTGGCATCTAGTATTATATACAACTAAGTATGTAAATTTGGAAAATCAAACAAAACATTGCTTCCCATTGAAAATGTTTTCCTTGGTGGTCATAAAACCCTGCAATTAAGCGGAATAAAAAGAATGAAGTTTCAATTTTAAAGCCAATTTAATTTAGCAATACATGTACATGTAGCAGCATTATATTACATAAAATTTCATCAAGAAAATCTTCAATAATTTGCGTTTCATTGTGATAACATAATTCCCCAAACTAAGCACTAATTTTGGCGTTTTAGAATCACAATGTACGAACATGCTGCATGGTCAATCACACTGACCACCACAGTTCAATCCTGATGACCACCTTATTTATTCCCGCGACAACCAGATTGCAATACTGATGACCACCTGACTAATTTATTCCCTCGACCACCAGATGTCAATCCTGTTGAACACTGAATTTCATTCCACTGAACCCTCATCATCTGCCTCAGGTTTCACATGGTCTTTCTGACCTTTGTCATCTGAACACTTATCAGCACTCTTTTCTGACGGATTACCTCCCGTTGATGGTTTTATTCCCTGTTGCCGTTTCTCAAAGGCTTTTCTGGGGTTGTAGATGGCCCTCTCAGGTCGTTCCTGTGAGATAAGATTGATTCAATATCAACATAAGCAATTAACAATTTCTAGGATACAATTTTTATCTATTGCACTTGATGGTTATATTTTACTAAGAGGTGCTGATAAAACCTGGACAACCTAAGAACACATGGTTACCTTATTCACCACTGAAAATTCATAATGAACTATTCCAACCTGAATTAGAAGAGTTCAAATGCATCTTCAGGGGTGAATGAGTTAAGGACTATCACTACCTCTAACCTCAAAATTGGTTAAGGACCATTACTACCACTAACCTCAGCATTGGTTAAGGACCATCACTACCACCAACCTCAGCATTGGTTAAGGACCATCACTACCACTAACCTCCACATTGGTTAAGGACCATCACTACCACTAACCTCAACATTGGTTAAGACTATCATTACCACTAACCTCAACATTGGTTTAGACAAACAGCATGAAGCTAAGTAAAGACTCAAAAGGAGGAAGATTGTTGTGGGCTATATCCCACATGGGATGAAGAAGACAAAGAGGTGCAGATTATGTGATTATCTGACAAAACATTACAGTTATAGTGGAAATATCCAGTCAAGATATACACTTTTGAAAGGATACATGAATCAAGCCACAATTTTCAACATTTATGGGATATTAGATAGCAAAGCTAAAACCCTATTTCAAGTGATGAAAAGAACAGTTTTCTGATCATTTAAACATGTATTAATGGACAACTCAATTTACCAGCAATGTTCATTAAAGTACCACTTAATTATAGAGTTATCTACCCTTACCCGTCTTTTTCGCCTCTTGTCATCCTTGTCTCCATCACCTGAGTCTGCCCTCTCCAACTTTCTCCCGTCCTCCTTTCCTGAAGCCTCCAATTTACTGTCGCTTCCTCTCCTAGAATTCTCCAAATTTTTATCACCATCTTCCTTTTCAGGAGTCTCCTCCTTCTTATTACAATCTTCATTCGCTGAAGCCCCTAATTTTCTGTCACCATCCTCGTTCGCTGAAGCCTCTAATTTTCTGTCACCATCCTCCTTCGCTGAAGCCTCTAATTTTCTGTCACCATCCTCCTTCCCTGAAGCCTCTAATTTTCTGTCACCATCCTCCTTCCCTGAAGCCTGTAATTTTCTGTCACCATCCACCTTCCCTGATGCCTCTAATTTTCTGTCACCATCCCCCTTCCCTGAACTTTTCAAATTCACATCACCATCCTCCAACCCTGACCCATCTGATTGACTAGCAGGTTCAGAGTTTGTTTGTTTGGTAGATTTGCTTGATTTTGATTGGTCAGTTTTCTCCCTATTCCCAGAAGCACTGCCTGACCTCTTGTCTGTATCCGAGTTACCATCCTCAGTTTTCCTGTCTGTCTGTGTGTCTCCAGGTGACTTGGCATTCTTAGCTTTGCTGTCTGCTGTCCTTGCTCCTCCAGTTTTCGAGTCATCTTGAGATCTTGTTTCACCTGAAGGTTTGTTGTCCACATGAGATTTATTGTCTGTGTGTGGTTTGGTGTCCCCCTGATTAACACAAGAAAAAGTGAAGCATAAAAAAGTAGGATTTTGTCTAAAATTCATATTTTTCTTTCTTTTACAACATTTTGTTCTGATTTGTATATTTCTAAATCAATTTTGTAGCATCAAAATTTTCTTCAGGAGAGTGTTGAAAGTTGCAAGAGAGATACATTTTTCTATAAGTACAAGAAGATGGAGACCTTGGCTTTTTCTGTAACCTGTTAAACACAACTTTGTTCTAACTACATGTATTCTCATTCTTTACCGTAAAGTTTAAAAACAATCATTAAAATGAGTTCAGTAATAAAGTTGCTAGAGTAATTAAGACAATTTCTACAATTAATAATAGCCACTTTGACATTGACACCCATAGAACACTCTCTTCCCATATACATCATATTTCTATATGTGACTTTTATATGAAGTTTGTTCGAAATCTGCATAGAAAACAAGAGAGTATATAGAGTGATGACATAGATTTTTCTATGAATAGTAATAATGACCGTTTACTTTAAGTTGCAATTGTAACACCCTGAAACATGAACTCGTCGAGGTATTCCCAAACCTTACGGACATTGTATGGACATTTTATCAGAATCAACTGAAAATTAAGTCACTAGAGTGAGGACTCCAATTTTCCACAAACAGAAACAATGATCTTGACCTTCACCTTGCCATCTTTAACTTGTTCACCCCTGAAATTCATAATGAACTGTTCCAACCTTTGAATTGGAAGAGTGCAAATGTGTCTTCAGGGGTGAATGAGTTAATCACCTATACATCTTTAAACACATGTCTGAGATATTCTCATACTTGAATATTCAATAAAGTTTGAAGAAATAAACTTGCTACATTGATAACAAAACTTTCCATGACCTTGCCATGAAGAAAGAGACAGGAAAATGTGTGTGTAATTTTGAAGACAATATTATTTCCTTCAAAGGCAAAACAGTTTTCTTCAAAAATGTACAGGTGTATATATAAAACATATGACTATGTATAAGGAGCCTAGAATTTTGATAAATGAGTTTGTTTGATCACAAAGAAAGTATTATAGACCATGCAACAAGGCATACCAAACTGTGTTAAAACTGAGAATTGTTTTTTTTAGGTGTTTGATATTTGTCATTTTGTAATGACAAGGTCTATTAAAGGAGTTTTAATTTAGTAAGATCTTTTTCTATATAAGTAGCTAGGTTTATTAATCTTATAAGGATAGACTTTGACAAAATTATATACCAAGGTATGAGTATTAAATGTAATATCTCAATTCCTGGTATATATTAAGTAAATGTGTCTTTTTACATCTATCTTTATATGCTCATTGGTTTCATGAAATTAATAAACTTTACATTAATGCTAATTAAGTAAACCTTATTCTAACACGAAGTTAAGATCTTTAGTCAGTGCAGCAAGAGCTAAGGTGGTCTACAGGTAACTGTGTTTACAGCATATCATGGCCGAATATCACTCTTGTCTCTAAAGCGTACCTTTCCTTTAGGTTTGTCATACTTGTGGCTGGTCGGCTCCTTCCTTGTACGAGCAGAGGTTTCTCTAGAATGATAGAATTGTTTCATCATTTACAAGTAATATATATATATTATACAAATTTCAAGTTTGTTTTACATTTATATACTGATTGTAAAATTAATCAAAACATCCTTCAACTTGGAAAAAAACACACAATAATTCTTGTTTATTGATGGGAAAATGTCAGGTAATTTGTTGAGGTGTAAATTATTTAAAAGTGAGTTTGACTGAAGCTACTATTCCGTTCAATAAGCTTTAGAGTACATGTGTTTTATGTATTATTGTAAAAGATTTTATCCCTACTCTCCCAGTTATCTCACATCGCATAAAAATATCTAAAGACTAACAAACTTGTAATGTAACAGGTGAGGGAGCTGGACAGAGGAATAGAACACACAAGAACATACGACGTGAACAACGACATGATTATTAAAACCTTCTATCAGAGTCCACATCTCTCTTGTCGTATCCCCGATCTCGATTCCTGTCATAATCTCTGTCCCTGTTTCGATCATAATCCCGGTCTTTATTTCTATCATAATCTCGATCTCTGATTCTATCGTAGTCCCGATCACCATCACGGTCATAGTCTCTGTCTCGTCCAGACTTATATCGGTCGTGCTGTCGTGACTCATCCTTTCCCGACCTCGGACGATCAGAGCCCCCTCTAGAGTTTCCTCCCCTACTTCTGTCATCATCCTTTCTGTCAGACCTGTAGTCGTCCTTCCCAGACTTCCCTCTATCCCCTAGACGAGTGTCCCGGGCTGATCGGGGTCGTTCTGAGGCAGATTTCTCATTCTTCTGGTCTCGCTGTCGTTCTCGGTTTTCCTTAGAGAACCTAAGCTTCTCCCTGTCCTTAGTTTTGGAGTCGGAAGATTTTTCCTCTCTCGGCCGGAAAGCTGTGTCCTTTGGCTTGACATCATGTGGCTTGTCTTTATCACTCTCCTTGTCTCTCTCCGGGTTTTTCAGAAGCTGATTGAAAAATAAATATTTAAGTTAGTATGTTTCAGTCAGAACAATAATCTGAATTCTATATTTGAAATTATTCTAGTTTGACAGTCAGAAGTTCACCTTGAATCTTCTACATTTACTTGTTAATACAACTTCTGTCAGCAGGCTATGTTTCACTTTTTTGCCACAATTTAAACTAGCATGGGCAGATTGGTTGGGTGGTTAACACTCCGGCCTTCCATGCAGGCGGCCAGGGTTAACTCCCTGAGACTTTGTGCGCATGGAATATCAGAGAAAGTGTTTTTCTTCTGCCCACACAACTCCAACAACCCAGGTGGAGTATAAAAATGGTTTGGGGTGGATGTTGCGGTATCTGTGCTGTAGCATTCAAGTGAGGTGGCACTATAAAAGATGCCGTTGGAAGCACGGTCCCACTACAAACAGAACACAATACATCTCCAGCACACACGCAGGCATACACACATAGGGAGATATTAGCCAGGTGGCATAGGACTAGTAGTTATCGCCTTTTAAGGCAGCTCCTGCAAATTCCTCAAAAATTGTATTGATTAATTTATATGCTAATTGTATTAATTATATATCTATGTGCTGTAAAGCGCTTTAGAGTGGCTTATGTTAGCTAGATAGGGCACTATATCAAATGCTGTATATATATATATATATATATTTTTTTATAAGCAATTTCTTTAGTATTCACATCAATTGAGAATCAATAAGTTAGACTTGGAAGTCATCATGTTTGCTATCTCCTGTATGGAATCTATTATGGCAGATGTAGTTTTGAATCAAAGGTAAACAATATATCTAAACCTTGATATCTACAAAATCCAATCTGTTCCCTTAGACTCCTCTACCTCTTCAACTCTGCTTAAGTTTACATATTTATACCAAATTAATTACTTTGAACTTTGGTCTGCTTTGTTGATAACATACAATGACTAAAAGTCAGACCAATACAGAGTTGCCCAAACTGTCAGGAGAAATGTCTACCAATATAATCAGCACTGTGTTGGTATGACTGTTTGAATTACTGCTGTTACAGAGGAATTCATCTCAACTTTTATAATCATACTAGATTTGTTTCTTTACTAGAAAATGATTTAGTCTATACAGAGGAAACACAAAGTAAAAAGGTCACAAGTTTATCTATCATGCAAGAATATCGGTTAGATTCTCAAAACACAATGTATATTTGGAAACATGTACACACATAAGTTTAACTGGACAAGGGTAAGAAACGTAGAAAAAATGAAATATTTAAAGTATTGGGTGAGTGCACAGCTGTATAAAAGTAAAGAATGTTTGGCACAAACAATTCAACAGAAAAAAGCACAATTCAAAGTGAAAATCCATACAATAACACTCATCCTTGCTTGGTTGGATTTACAAGTTTGAAATGTAAATGTGACATTGATAGATATATGTGTTCACATTTTTGTGACACTTTGTCACAGGTTTGACAGAACACATTTTCTATGTTCTGGCATTCACTTACGACGGTACATGCTGATAAACAACCTAGTGTCTACAGTAAGTACACATTTGTCAGCACATTCTTTACACACATGTGGAGGCATGCTGCTACACAAGGATAAACAACAGTCTTGTGCATGAGACATTAAACTTACAACCTTGATGGGCTGGTCTTTACTACTTTTATCTTTATCAGCTCTTTCCTTCTCCTTCACTGGATCTTTATCCTTCAGTCTTTCTCGTTCACGCTCTTTATCTTTCCTTCTTTTCTTTTCGTCCTCTCTCACCTTTCTACGTTCCTGTTCCCGTTTCTTCCTCTCTTCTCTTATTTTCTGAAAATTACAAAGTAGTATTTATCAAATCTGTGATTAAATATAAAATTTTCTATATTAAATCAATTGTCTAGATAAATGCTCAATACTTCGTCTGAATGGGGTGAACGTGTTGATATTTTCACGTTGAATCATGAGACTTATTGAAAGCAACTTCTGTTACAAATGCCCCCAAACAATCCCATCAGTCACATTTTTAAAAGGGGCATCATAAACAAGAGATCTAGGAGGGATCTTGGCGCCCACCATCGTACCATCCTCATTAGTTCTAAGTCAGTTTGATCTTTTTTATTCTTTTCTCTTATCTGTTTGCCTGTCCACCATCTTAATCAGTCGTTTGATCTATCTCAAAAGTTAACAAACACAACTAAGAACCAAGGGGAACCTACATATCAAATCTGACAAATATTGCTCCAGTACATTCTGAGAAATAGCTATAACAAAATATCTGTAACAAGATGGCCGCCTGTCCACATCTTGGTTTTCAGATCAGTCCAAAAATTTGATATGCATAACTAAGAACCAAGAGGAACCCTTCTGCGAAATTTGAGAAAGAACCCTCCAATATGTTTTGAGCAATAGGGCTAACACATTTTTACTCCCAAGTTCATGAATTCAATAGGGCCACCAGCCGGCCATCTTGGTTTTCCAATCATCCCCAAATTTCGAAATGCGGAACTAGGAATCATTTTTGAGAAAGACCCCTTCTGTAAATTCTGAGAAATAACACTAACAAACTTTCATTATCAAATTCAAGATGGCTGGCTATCCACCATCTTGGTTTTGTGATCAGTCCCAAAAATTGATATACATAACTAGGGACCATGGGAAACATTCATGTAAAATTTGAGAACGATCCCTCGAGTACTTTCTGATTAATATTGCTTACAAACTTGAACTCTCAAACTCAAGATGACATACTACATTATGTAAGAGAATCCATCCACAACTTGTAATCAAAGTAGTTCTACCCCGATACCAACCACCAACCACGATACCAACCACCAACCATTCCAAACATTATATATCATGCATGAACTTATCTAACTATATACTTTTGGTAGCCAAACTGAATTGACACCAACAGATCAATGTTTTTGTCAAACAAAACGTGCCTTTGGCATACTGATGTCATAATCATGTCTCATTGTAAATGCTGATCTCTGATTGGTCAAAAATGTTATTTTCATTCCTCTGCTGGACAGAAAAATCTACTTTCATTGCACATCCAAAGTACAGCTGAGGACACATACCAGTATAACAGCTTTCTTCTCCTCTCTGCGTTTCTTCAGGAACTCTATCAAAGGTGTTGACAGGTGTGGATTTCCATGATTTGCTGTTTGTAAACAATGTAGAAAAAGCCATTACAAAAATTGATGAAAAATTCTAAAATTCGTTTTATAATTGACTTTCTTCAAACCCATAGTATAAGATACATTATTTTTACATGTACAGTTTACTAACGATGCATATCTTTATAATGGTATATAAGTTTAAAATCTAACCTGCCTACCCTCCACATCAGGGTCAGGATAACATAGATAGATATGGTATAATAAAAGATGACACACTAGATGATACTTCTACCTTTCATTGCTTTATCTCTATTCTCCAGTGTCTCAAGGTAGGTTTCAATGGAAACAACTTCCTCCTCCTCAGGGTTCTCCAAACTCTCCACAAATTTGAGATAGTCCGAATCTACAAAAACAAGGACAAATTGAGTACTAGTTGTCACATAGATATACCCCCTTACCACATCCCACACACCTCCACCTCAAAGTGTTTCTTTGGACCTTTAACTTTGACAGATGACCAGAAAAACCTTAAACTTAATCAAGTGTTTTTACAACACTATCATTATAATAATCTTAAGGAAACTTATAAAATATGTTAAGACATTCATGAAATATCTTGTACACAAAGCTTTTAAGTTCAAAAGAGGCCAAGTTTGACATTTCACCTGTACCTTCCAGCATAAATAGTCAGGTGTAGAACTTGATGTTACCATACCATGCCATAATGCGTGCAGGGCCAATGACATGATAGCTGCTATTATATTATATATTGTATGGATTTCACCTTGCAATTGGTCTAGAGCAGTCCTTGGCCTTGGTTAACATTGGTCTACAGCTGATCTTGACCTTCATTTCATCTAGGTCTACAGCTGACCTAGAACTAAGGTTCACCCTTGTTGAGAGCTAATTTTAGTCCAGGGTTAACCTTGGTCTTCAGCTGACCTAGAACTAAGGTTCACCCTTAACTTGTTGAGAGCTGATTTGAGTCCAGGGTTTACCTTGGTCTACAGCTGACCTAGAACTAAGATTCATCTTTGTTGAGAGCTGATTTTAGTCCAGTGTTAACCTTGGTCTACAGCTGACCTTGACCTTGATTTCATTTAATCCTACAGCTGACCTAGAACTAAGGTTCACCCTTGCTGAGAGCTCATTTTAGTCCAGTGTTAACCTTGGTCTACAGCTTACCTAGAGCTAAGGTTCACACTTGTTGAGAGGTAATACAATTTGAGTCCAGGGCTAACCTTGTTTCTTCAGCTGACCTAGAACTAAGGTTCACACTTGTTGAGAGGTAATATAATTTGAGTCCAGGGCTAACCTTGTTCTTCAGCTGACCTAGAACTAAGGTTCACCCTTGTTGAGAGGTAATATAATTTGAGACCAGGGCTAACCTTGGTTTTCAGCGGACCTAGAACTAAGGTTCACCCTTGTTGAGAGCTAATTTTAGTCCAGGGTTAACCTTGGTCTACAGCTGACCTTGATTTGATCTAAGTCTACAGCTGACCTAGAACTAAGGTTCACCCTTGTTGAGAGGTAATATAATTTGAGTCCAGGGCTAACCTTGGTCTTCAGCTGACCTAGAACTAAGGTTCACCCTTGTTGAGAGGTAATATAATTTGAGACCAGGGCTAACCTTGGTCTTCAGCTGACCTAGAACTAAGGTTGAGGTTGAGAGCTAATTTTAGTCGAGGGTTGACCTTGGCTTACAGGTTTTACCTTGTTCTATGGTGCCTTTCTTCGTGTCAGTTTTCTTTGACTTTCTCTTTGGAACTTTCTGGAATGGTGAGAACTCGACCAAAGCTGGGTACTCGTTTCCTAAATATTAAATTGAAATTAATTTTAGATTTCCAAGATGCATATTATTTACACGACAAATTCTTATCTGGCAAATATTAATTTACCATGCTGACCCAATCAAAGAATTTCACCCTTTACTTTGTGAGGAGGTCCTTGTATGATCTGTCTGTGACAATAAATGATGTCTGTTGTTTACGATCTACCAGCCCACATATCTAAGTAAGTATGTGTATCCTTTACTCTGTGAGGATTCTAGAATAACATATCTCAGTAAGTATGTGTATCCTTTACTCTGTGAGGATCCTGGAATAACATATCTAAGTAAGTATGTGTATCCTTTACTTTGTGAGGATCCTAGAATAACATATCTATGTAAGTATGTGTATCCTTTACTCTGTGAGGATTCTAGAATAACATATCTAAGTAAGTATGTGTATCCTTTACTTAGTGAGGATCCTTGAATAACATATCTATGTAAGTATGTGTATCCTTTATTTTGTGAGGATCCTAGAATAACATATCTAAGTAAGTATGTGTATCCTTTACTTTGTGAGGATCCTAGAATAACATATCTAAGTAAGTATGTGTATCCTTTACTTTGTGAGGATCCTAGAATAACATATCTAAGTAAGTATGTGTATCCTTTACTTTGTGAGGATCCTAGAATAACATATCTAAGTAAGTATGTGTATCCTTTACTTTGTGAGGATCCTAGAATAACATATCTAAGTAAGTATGTGTATCCTTTACTTTGTGAGGATCCTAGAATAACATATCTAAGTAAGTATGTGTATCCTTTACTTTGTGAGGATCCTAGAATAACATATCTAAGTAAGTATGTGTATCCTTTACTTTGTGAGGATCCTAGAATAACATATCTAAGTAAGTATGTGTATCCTTTACTTTGTGAGGATCCTAGAATAACATATCTAAGTAAGTATGTGTATCCTTTACTTTGTGAGGATCCTAGAATAACATATCTAAGTAAGTATGTGTATCCTTTACTTTGTGAGGATCCTAGAATAACATATCTAAGTAAGTATGTGTATCCTTTACTTTGTGAGGATCCTAGAATAACATATCTAAGTAAGTATGTGTATCCTTTACTTTGTGAGGATCCTAGAATAACATATCTAAGTAAGTATGTGTATCCTTTACTTTGTGAGGATCCTAGAATAACATATCTAAGTAAGTATGTGTATCCTTTACTTTGTGTGGATCCTAGAATAACATATCTAAGTAAGTATGTGTATCCTTTACTTTGTGAGGATTCTAGAATAACATATCTAAGTAAGTATGTGTATCCTTTACTCTGTGATGATCCTAGAATAACATATCTATGTAAGTATGTGCATCCTCTACTTTGTGAGAATCCTAGAATAACATATCTAAGTAAGTATGTGCATCCTTCACTTTGTGAGGATCCTAGAATAACATATCTAAGTAAGTATGTGTATCCTTTACTTAGTGAGGATCCTAGAATAACATATCTAAGTAAGTATGTGTATCCTTTACTTTGTGAGGATTCTAGAATAAACATCTAACAGTCTTTGTTTAAGTCTTTTGTCATTGGATAGAAACAACTGACACTGTTTCTTACTTTTTTAATTTTATATCTCCGAGGCTTCTTGCATTTATAAACACAATTTATCACATAATTTTGAAACATATTGATATACATTTTGCATAAAATTCACATCAAAGTATCTTAGTTTTAATTATAACCATCTTTTTAATTGGCTTATCAAGTGATAGACTGAAAAAAAATAAGAGCATATTTTGATGATGTTTTACACAATGACTACTTTGTTTTACATAAAAGTAGTTGTCTGTCAATAAATAATTTCCAACCATGTCCTTTAACACTGGAAATTGAAGTATTGCATACAAAATGTGATCCACTGTAAGTGGAGAGTCACATGGCTGGCATGTAGCTATATATAGGTGGGTCTCCCCCTATTTAGCAGATAAGAAACCAGATCGTAATCCTTGGCTAACAAAAATGGTTTGATTTATGAACCTCAAATGAAAAATTGTTTGAAGTGTTTGTGAACTGAATGATATGTATGCCCTTCGGTATAAAGTTATGTGGCAATGAAATAAAAAGTGAATGCATATGTGCAAGATTGATTTGGCTGAAGTAGTGTGACTGGAGTAATGTGATGAGAGAACGATGTGTGCATGTGCTCCTACATACCTTTACTGTCCACGAAAATGTAATCGTCAAAGCGATCCCGAAAGTTGTATACATCTTCATGGTTGTGAAAATTCAGGTATGCTCTCGAGAAGGCATTGACACCTAGGCTGAAAGTAGTCATGAAGAAAAAGGTCATTTTTCTATCCCAATCACAGCTAAACTTTGGATAATTACAATAGGAAAGGATGTAATGATTGAGCCTAAATAACCTATAGAATCCGAGTCATTATAATTAATGCCAAGTTTGTTTTGAACACAAACATTCACAGAAAATTTTAACTTTGCCAGTTTCGAAAAAAAAAATCTGTTTCCTTCATCAAGCAAAAAGTGCAAATGACCAGTGTTTTGACAACAGAAAACAATTCACTTTGTAAATCAGAATGTGCCAAGTCACTAGAATCAGAATAATATTGAAATATTTCCTCCAAATAACACTTTGTTTACCCATTCTGCCCATTAGTGATGTACCAGTATTGTAAGAAGGGTATGACAGTTCCATCAAATTGCTGGTATCTCTGATGTGGGACCCTACTTACTTGTTAGTGCATTTATTCAATTAATTTCTAGCTAAAACTCCGACCAGACCCCAATTTCTTTCTTGAAGTATGTGATGAATTCCTCCGTAATACCTCATATCAGCCTTGACGAAGTAAAAGTCATGTTCGGTGAGTGGGGAGATTTGCTCGAGAAGAGACTCAGGAGTAAGACTTGGAGGCAGCCGACGAATCACAATCTAAAAACAATTTAAAAAGTCACAGGCATCATGAAAAATACTATATTTACATCTATAAAAACAAAAAACAAAACTTGATATACTAGTAAGTACAGGCAACGCTGGAAGGGAGGAAGAAATCTTTCTAACAATAATGCATAATATATATAGGTATAGGTATGGGTTATGGCCACAAGGTATCGCAAATGGTACATCCCCTTGAGTGTAGTTAAACATTTTATATTTAACAGAATTGTTACATCTCACTCCAGTAATAGCATGAACATTGAGGTATTCTCTTACTTCACCACTACATCAAGCTAATAGAAATCTGTTCAGAAACACAAACTCATCTGAGGTACTTGACCAACATATATGATTTGGATTAAAATCCAAGCAGGAATGAATTCAATAGAGTGATAGATAGATTTTCTAAAAAAATAGTAATATTGGTCTTGAACTTGCATATTTTATATATTTTATTTTTTCTAAAAATGTGTATATCATTGTAGAAATTATTTACATATATATACATTTGTACGCATTTGTTTCTGTTCTGTTCTCATCAGTTATCTATCAGATGTACAGCACTATATTAAGAGGAGCGAGCCTAAATCTTCGACATTTCTCCAGTTTCTTTCCTATTTCTGGTCTTCCTTGAATGTTTCTTGTTATTGGTTCATGATCAATATCCTACATTTTGAAGGGTATTTTCGGATTGGCAGAATTCTCTTTGCTATTTTTTTTAAATTTCTTTTGATTAAATTTCTGTTTGATTTTTCACACCTAGTAGTAACATGCAGTCTGGCTAAACTTCATTGCCATATTCTTCTGTTGCACTGGTGATAATTCCAATCAAATATGGTTACAACCATGCTGCTGTTCAGGAGGGGTAGGATTTTAAAGCAAAAAAGTAAGGCCATGAAAAAGCAGTAAGTATTGACACATTATTTGTGTGTATTTAAATACTTTTTGAGTATATTTGACATGTAATTGAGTAGATTTACTCACAGGAGTCTGACGTTTATTCAATATAGGTACAACAATCTGCATATAAAAAAATACCTCGTATACTATATGTACTTTTATATACAGATTGTTATACTTATATTGATTCATATCAGTTCAGTTCTTTATTACCTTGAACCTTACGGCTCATCAGTTCAAAATAAACATATATACAAGGATAAACAATACAATCACTCACACCTATATACACCCCCACAAATACACACACACAAATACCCACTTACATACCCATTGGTATAGTGTAGAGAGACATCCCTCTTTATATAGGTACATAGTCTTTTCTTTTCTTATTACTCAGTTTGATATATTTGGCTAAATTTGTTAACTGTTTTTTGTTCCCTGTTTCCATAAGTTGGATACATGTATACATGCTAGGTCTTTCATAGTAATATTTCTTAATAAAACGCTTTCTTAAATCTACATTCACATTTTAATATAAAATGAAATTCATCTTCGATATCCCCACGGTTGCAGTATGCACATGTTCTTTCAATCCTATCTACATTGTTATACCTACCAATTTCAATATTTAATTTGTGAGATGACAGTCTAATTTTTGTAATTTCTTTCAGATTTGTATTTCCTATGGGTTTTGTTAAATATGGTTGTAAACAGAAATTTTCGCCAATAAACTTGTACAGTGAACACTTAGAAGATGTATCTATTTTTTCTTTACATTCTTGCGTAAATATATCACACATTCTGCTTTTAATAATATTCATAATATAATCGGATGTATAGGTATCTCCATATTGCCATATGTACCCTACTCCCATTCTAAATAGTTCGTTTCTTACTCCATTCATCCATTCACTACCATTTTCTAACATTTCTTGATAACATGCATGTAAAACACAATTGTCAGTTTGTTTTAATTTTAACCAGTATTTAAAAATTCTAAATTTCCTAATAATTTCCAAAGGCAATCTTCCTAATTCTTGGTAAACCATAAAATTTGCAGTAGATTTCTTAACCCCTAATAATCTTTTACAATAACTTAAATGTATTTTCTCTATATCTGGTGCTTTATGAAAGCCCCAAACTTCCGCTCCATAATTAAAAATACTACAGACATATGTATCGAAAACATGAAGCTGAGTTTCAACGTTAAAATAATTTTTCTTAGACACGTTTGATACTGAAAACAATGCTTTTCTTCCTTGTTCAGCGATTTTTTGTTGAGTTTTTTTGAATTTACCATTAAAATTCATTAATATACCCAGGTAATTAAATTCATCTACAATATCTAAAACACCTCCATCAAAGTACCACTTATCTTTATCTCTTAATTTACCTCCGTTACGGAAAACCATCACCTTGGTTTTAGAAGTATTAACCGTAAGATTCCATTTATTTGTATAAAGTAATAAAGTATCTAACATTTTCTGCAATCCCTCAGAGGTTTCGGCCAATAACACCATATCGTCTGCATACATCATTAAAAATATATTAATAGTTTGTAGCTCTATAGAAGGACACCCTTCTGTTAAAAAATTCATTTCGCAATCATTGACATACAAAGAGAACAATAGAGGAGACATAATTTCCCCTTGAAATAATCCATTTTTACATTGAAAAAAATCTGACATGTTTTTGTTATACTTTACACAACATTTTACATCTCTGTACAAAGAACGTATAATATTCAACATCTTTCCTTCTATACCTTCTTTGATAAGTTTGTACCACAGATTCTGTCTATTAACGAAGTCAAAAGCTTTTTTGTAATCAATAAAACAGCAATACAGTCTATTTCTATTTTTCAGGGTTTTACTTATTAATGTGTGTAATACAAATATAGCGTCAATAGTTGATAAATTCTTCTTAAAACCAAACTGAGCATCACTTAATTTACAATAGTCACTATCGAAATTAGCAAGACGCTCATTAAGAATTGATGTAAAAAAAATCCCTAAACAACTTACTAAAGTAATTCCTCTGTAATTATTGGTATCGTTCTTGTCTCCTTTCTTAAAAATAGGAATTATATTACCTACCGACCATGATGTAGGATAAAAACCAGATTTAAAAACATTGTTAAACAGTACCACAAGACATGGCATAAGTACCTCTTTACCCTTAATAAAATACTCATTAATCAGTAGGTCTGGACCACACGCCTTCGAGTTACTCAATCTATTGATAGCTTTGAGCACTTCACTATCAGATATCTGATCATCTAATTCTTGAAACATAGTATTTGGTACATTAACATCATAATTATTTAAAAACTCATTAACCATTTCATTCTCAACAGGTTCCGTTGAAGACAATTCGCTAAAATACTTAAAAAAATCTTGTTCACTAAGATCCCCCTTATCGTTATTTTTTCTTTTCTTGAATCTACTATAGAAAGCCTTAGGGTTACTTTTTCGCAAGTAATCCATCATATTACCTTGTTGATCTATATATTCACGCTTTAATCTAGTTTCCAGTTTTTTATAGTTACGCTTTTTAGATATAAAAATGTTCTTATTTTCCTCTGACTTAAGTGAATTAAAAGTAAATAATGCGTTTTTGTATTCAATATATCTGTTTTTACAAACTTCGTTAAACCATGGTTTATCCTCCACTCGAACTTTTTTAACCTTTCTAGAGGTGCATTTAGTAACATTTAAAGGCATTAACAATTCATTTAATATATTAGTAAACTTATTCACACACTCATCTATACATTTTTGATTATCCTCAATATTATTACAAGCATTAAATAACTCTCTACGGTTTTCCTCTAGTAAATGCAATGCTCTCTCTGCATGATCCCCATTCCATTTAACATGTGTATATATATTATCTTTATCATTATAATCAGGTACAACTACGTTTTGTTCAAATGAATCCACAGTAATACAAATTGGAGAATGGTCTGAAAAAACATTAAATATTCCACTCTCAAAGTGAGTAATATTCTTTAAGAAATCATCAACAGTCAATACATAATCTATTAGACTAGATCCCCTACTATTCAAAAAAGTTATACTACCATTAGGATCATCTTTATGTCGTCCATTTACAATTCTCAAGGAAGTAGATTTACACAGTGAAAGAAGATGTCTTCCAAATTGGTTAATATGCAGGTCAGAATTGGAACGTTTGGATGGTACAGAATCATTAACATAATTTACAATATTTGAAATAATATGCGCAGGCCCTTGATTAACAATATCATTACTTATATAATCGTCGTAAATACCCGTTCTACTATTGAAATCTCCTAGTACAATCACTTTACCTAATCCTTTATATTCACACACCATTTCCTCAAGTCTGGCAAAAATATCAATTTCACATTTGTGATAAAAAACACTATTTACAGGTGGGAAATAACAAGCAAATGCATATATATCACTGACATTATTTCTAATGTTATTGGATATTTTTAACAATACAATGTTGTCATTAATGTTATCTATTACCCTACAATAATCGAAGATAGTTGATTTAATAAAAATNTATTATTCAATATAGGTACAACAATCTGCATATAAAAAAATACCTCGTATACTATATGTATTTTTATATACATATTGTTATACTTATATTGATTAAACGTCAGACTCCTGTGATTTACTATTCAGTAGCTAGGCATCTGACCAATATACAGGTAGGTATATTCTCTTATAACTGTATATCAAATAGCTGTAATACCATGGCCAGAAACATATTCATGTACAACAAAGCTGACTGGAACAACATTAGAAATGACCTCACACTTCTAAACACAAAACTTAACGAACAAACTAATCAAACCGCAGACAATCTTTGGAACATGTTCAAAACAGCACTTCATGATTCAGTCACCAAAAATATACCTTTAAAACATATCACATACAAATCCAAACTCTTGTGGATAACACATTCTCTCCTTCAACTCATGAAAAAATGTAAACACTATCACACGAAAAGCAAAACAAAATATGAACTTATACATGTATATACATGAAACGCATACCTAAACTACATAGAAACAATAGGCCCAGAGGGCCTGTATCGCTCACCTGAATATCTAAGCAGTCATTGCAAAATATTCTCATTAAATATTATACTGTTCTACAAATATTTCACTTGCAAACTTTGTCCACTCCATCTGTTGAAACTTCCAGCCAAATATTATATGATTTTATGCTTTTTGCCATTTGATTCTTCTTCAGAAGTTGTTTGAAGTGTTTGACTGTTTTTCCCTGTGACCTTGTAAGTAGGTCAAGGTCATTTTCCTTCTCAAACTTTGTTTGCTCTATCCCAAGAAGGTACCAGCCAAATCTTATGAATCCATTCCTTTTGGTTCTTCAGAACAAATACTTTGAAATGTTGTTGACCTTTGTGACCTTTAAAGGAGGGTGTGGTCATTTTCATTTGCAAACCTTGGTGAGCCCTCTCCCAGGAAGCCACCAGCCAAATATTATAATTTTATGCCTTTCGATTATTCAGAAGCCGTTTGATGTTTTTGACATATTTGACACCTGTGACCTTGAAAGTTTGCCTAGGTCATTTTCATTCTCAAACTTTGTCGGGCTCTATCTCAGGAAGCCAACTGCCAAATACAGGGGTTCTATACTTTTTAGTTCTTCAGAAGAAGTCGTTTGAAGTGTTTGACACATTTGACCCCTGTGACCTTGAAAGTAGGTCAAGGTCATTTTCGTTCTCATACTTTGTCCGTCTCCTACCAATGAAGCTTTCAGTCAAATATCATGGCTCTATGCCTGTTCGTCCTTCAGAAGAAGTTGTTTAAAGGAAAATTTGACTGACGACGAACGAGGGACGGACGACGGATGCCGCACCCTGACCTTTGGGCAGGTGATCTAAAAAGGAGCCAAGTACCACCCAGCAAATTACAGGCTAATATCATTAAACTGCATCACATGTAAACTCATGGAACACATCATAACAAGCGCCACAATGACACATAATGAGAACAACAACATATTATATGACCTACATCATGGCTTTTAAGATCCTCCAGATCCTGTGAAACACAGCTCACCACATTCATACACGATCTCGCATCAAACGACAACATCAACAAACAGACAGACGTTATCATAACGGACGTTGCCAAAGCTTTCGACAAAGTCCCACACAAACGACTACAGTAAAAACTCAAATATTACGGGATAACAGGGAGCACACACGCATGGATTATAGACTTTCTCTCATTTTGCACCCAAACAGTAGTACTTGAGGGCAAACAATCAAATAAAATACAAGTAACCTCTGGGGTACCTCAAGGAACCTGTTTGGGCCCCATCCTCTTCCTCATCTACATCAATGACTTCCATAAATACATGCAATACAGTGCACTAAGCCTCTTTGCAGATGACAGCATCATATACAAGACGATAAACAACAAAGAAGACACACTAAAACTACAACATGACCTTGATGCAGTAGAACAATGGGAGATGGACTGGCTAATGAAATTTCACCCTAAAAACACAATGAAGAGCAGCACGCTACGTAAACAACACATATCATAACACCAGCTTAGTAACAGACATTGATCCACAAACTAAAATGGCTAACACTACAAACCTGAGTGTCCTTTTTTATGAAATAGTTCACCAACAGACGTAGAAATAAACCCAACATCTATACCCACCCCCGTAGACCCTTGAACCAGACATGCACACCCTTAGGCATACAAACACATATCTGCTACAAAGGACACCTACAAATATTCATTCTTCCCACACACAATATCACAATGGAATCTCCTTTAGCAGCAGTACAATGAACAACACTCAAGGACTTCAAGGCACACATACTGTATGCAGCCGTTGAAGCCCTCATCACAAGCTACTACATACGCCAGCTTTTAACCTTTTATCTTATACCCTGCACAAAAAACAAGAGGCCCAGAGGGCCTGTATCGCTCACCTGAATATAATTAAAGTAATTGGTATGAAGTAAAGATATAGCACTCCATGGTAGGTGCTGTAAGTACATATGAAATTTCAGAAAGATCCATCCAGTACTTGAGATATAGAGAACAAACTTCAAACAGAGTCCCACCCCTATGCCCCTACGGGGGTCATACCCACCAATTATACAAAATTGAGTCACCGTCACCCAAGGATGCTCCACACTAAATAAGGATAAAATCCCTTAATCCCGATGGTCGGAGAAGGATTTTAAAGGTTTTACCTCTATTTCTCCTATTGGGCCCCGCCCTTCTGCCCCCCTCGGAGACCACACCTACTGCTAATACAAAATTGAGTCCCCTTGGCACAAGGATGCTCCAGACTAAATTAGGATAAAATCCCTTAATCCCTATGGTAGAAGAAGGATTTTAAAGGCTTTACCTCTATTTTCCCTATTGGGCCCCACCTCTCTGCGTACAGGGGGGTCAGACACACCGTTTATACAAAATTGGTTCCCCTTCACCCAAGAATGCTTCAGACCAAATATGGACAAAATCCTGTCATTCCTACCGAAGAAGAAGGATTTTGAAGATTTACGTCTATTTCCGCTATTGGGCCCCACCTCTCAGGTCCCATGGGGGCCACACCCACTGTTTATACAAAATTGGTTTCCCTTTACCCAAGGATGCTTCTGACCAAATATGGACCAAATCCTTTCATTCCTACAGAAGAATAAGGATTTCAAAGAATAATTTGCTATGTTTCCCCTATTGGGCGCCGTCCCTCAGGCCCCTGGGGGGCCAGACCCTTGATTTATACAAAATTGGATCCCCTTCACCCAAGAATGCTTCTGACCAAATATGGACCAAATCCTTTCATTCCTACAGAAGAATAAGGATTTCAAAGAATAATTTGCTATGTTTCCCCTATTGGGCCCCGCCACTCAGGCCCCAGGGGGGCCAGACCCACCATTTAAACAAACTTTCTTCCCCTTCCCCCAAGGATGCTTCTGACCAAGTATGGAACAAATCCTTTCATTTCTACAGAAGAAGAAGGATTTTAAAGAAGAATTTGCTATATTTCCCCTATTTGGCCCCGCCCCTCAGGCACCTGAAGGCTCAGACCCACCATTTATACAAAATTGGTTCTTCTTCACCAAAGGATGCTCCACACCAAATTTTGTTAAAATTCGCACAGTGGTTCATGACTAGTAGTGTAAAGTTGACGGACGACGGACGCTGCGGTAAGGCACAAGATAACCTTGGTCCTTCGGACCAGGTGAGCTAAAAATACTAATCACTGTAAATAATCCCTTTTCTTCATGCCTCTGCACATGTTCCCAAGGACATAAACATCATTATTGATGGAGCCCTTGTACAGTAAAGAAGAAGAAAAAGAAGAAGAAGAAATGGAAGTTTTAAGTACTAAAAAGAATTTTCATGTGTTACAGCATCCAGAAATGTCAAAATTACACAAACTGAGAGCATATTTGACTTATTTTTATAGTATAGTGGAGTGCCACAGAGCCTATTTATAGGCTCTCTGCTACTACCGTTGAGTGCCAGAGAGACTATTTGTAGGCTCTCCCAAATCCCACAGTTCAACAATAGCAATGACGTCATCAACTATTAAAAAACGTCATAGACGGCGTTTCCGTGTTCCGGCAGATTAGCTTGACAGAATTATAGCGGCTTGATTGTTTGCTCCGTGGTACCAGCCTTATCCTCCTGAGAACCATGACTTCATACAACCATGTTTGGAACCTCCAGGACCAACCAATATGCCTCCAAGGAATTCCCCTCCAATTTCATATTTCTTGCTTTTCTTTTCCATTAATTTATTACGGAAATGCGTCTTGGAAACAAACAGGTAACGTACGCTATCTGATCATTTCAATGATATTTGTACAGTAATTTATATACCTTGATACAGTAATATATTACATCACATACAATATTCCCATATACTGAAACTATCTCAATGTTTAGAGTACTAGTGATGTCGTCTTTGTGCGTATGTAGTGTTCTAAGTTCGTTCGGGTAGAAACAAAGACTCAACATTACAGGTGTATATTTTTTGTAGTTCATTGTAGCTAGTAATACACCATGAAATGGCTCAAATAAAGCTTACACTGTGTTGACATGCGTGAATTCAAAGGAACAATCAAACTTTAACTGGTTTCTTTGTAAAAATGTCCAGCACACATTAACCACTCAGTTCACCAGGATACTCTTTTGACTACTCCCACCACTACTCCACCTATCTTGACTATATACTTTCCACCCCCCCCCCCCCCCCCCCCCCCCTTCCTGTTTCTGTCATCTATCCTTCTCAATTTCTGATACACTTTTTGAGTCGTTATAATTCTCCAATTCTATTTTAGATATGTCTGGACTTTTCAGCTGCAGCAACACATTCCCGAGCACACAAATGGTATCCCGTCTCATTTGTGGAATTCAAAGCTTTTCTTGGAATAGTGATAAACACATTGGGATGATTAAGAAGCCATATATTCATTTGTACTGGTCAACGAAAACAAGCCAACTAACAACATGGTTTCGATCCATGTTGACGAGAAACAGGTTACAAAACATTTGGAAATACTTCCATGCCGTAGATAACGCGAAACTACCCAAACGAACAGAGACAGAGTACAACTACAACCCATGTGATCAATTTAAACATTTCATCCAACGTGCGAACATGCTTTTTAAACGACACTTCACTGAAGTTCACACCATCTCAGAATCTCACCATAAACGAATCATTAGTAAGTATAAAGAATAGAACTGAAATAACTCAGTATATCCCCTCAAAACACCGCAAGTGCGGGGCTAACGTTTGGATGTTGGCGCAGCCTGTTACAGAATACAATCTTCATATCACTGTTTACGGGGGTCACAGATATGATCATGTCCCTACTGCACAAACGCAGGGGTCTTCTGCTGTGATTGCGTTATTAAAAGTGGCAGGGTTGCTGAACAAAGGCTTTCATTTAGTAACTGACATTTTTTTCCCTTCAATACTAGATCTGGCAAAAAAAGACTATTTCAGGTTGGAACGAACTTTACTGGCACTTTACTTGCGAATAGCAGAGAACACCCAAACACAAATAGAACCCCAAGCATGCTGACTTTAATGTATGACGACAACCTCAAAACCCTTAAATTGTGAAAAAGGATCGTGTTCAACTACATCCATAGGATGCATGTTGTTAAATGCTTACATATGGTATTCCCAAAATACAGATCTGAATCAAAAGTTGAGCCGGAACGGCATTCATTCAGGATATCGTGGACAGCCTATGTAGTGATCAGTTGGAGAATATAGGGAAACCAAACGACAACCTGATATAAATCTATGAACACATCAGCAGAAGGAGTACTCTCGTGTCAGGGGCAATGGGAGGCGCCGTGAGATTATGGCCTGCTCTATGTGTTACAGTGGGGTACATGCGCTGTGTCTCGCAAGACACAGATGCTCGTGAAGACTGAATATATGTACATTTCATTATTACTATGCATGTTTTCTGGTTTTCAGATTGGACAAATTTGTACATGAAACGCAAAAAAACCCGTTATTTACAACATTAATATCATTCCATTTGAGAGCTTTTGTAATAATATGTAATATTTGACAAATAATACATGAAAATACATGTTATGTATATTTTCATTGCCATGGTTGTTCAGATACATTTACCAATGTACAACCACAGGTGCTCGGGTTCTGGAATATATGTGATATATAATCGCACCCACTAGATATCGCACCACCTTATACTAATAAATCATGCGTACAACATTGAAAAAAATCCAATTTGTGTCGATTTTCATTCAAGAGACTTCAGGTTGGCATAATGACCTGACGTCATCACCACGCCCATTATTTAATTGTTCTACATAATATATTTCGGGTTGTGGTAAAAGCCGAAAAGTGTCGAAAAGTAGTGGAAAAG